CACCCTCCAAAGCCACAGAGAAACCCTGTCTCGTCAAACCAAAAAAAAAAAAAAAAAGAAAAAAAGGAAGGTGTAGGGGAGGCTGTAGCCACGCCTACTTAGGGGCTGGCTACAGGTGTGTCTGACCACGCCTTGCAGGCGTGGTCAGGGTGGCGTGGAGTGAGAGGCGGTCAGGTGGCTGGGCACTTTCGGTTTCGCTTTCGGCTTGCTGTACAGACTGCTGCCGCGCCAGCTGGCTAGGTCGCTCTGTAAGTAATGCTTTTCCCTACTAAATACCCTTGTATTTCTACCTGGCTCAGGATTCTCCAGCCGTACTGTGGAGACGCTTGGTGAGAGCTCGTGGAGGCAGGATCAGTCCTTTCAGTCTGAGGTAGAGTAAGAGCTAGTGACCAGCTGCTTTGCTTTTCTGATCTTCAGCTTGAAGCTTGAATCCCAGAATCTGTCTCTGGGCTATTTATTTTTCTTGCTACAGTTAGGTATTGTCTTAATTAGTGATCAATGGAGGAGGGCTCAGCCCATTGTGAGTGGCGCCATCTCTGGGCTGGTGGTCCTGGGTTCTATAAGAAAGCAGACTGAGCCAGCCATGAGGAGCAAGCCAGTAAGCAGCACCTCTCCAAGGCCTCTGCTTCAGCTCCTGCCTCCAGGTTCCTTTCCTGCTGGAGTTCCTGTCCTGACTTCCTTCAATCATGAACAGTGAAGTGTAGGCCAAAGAAACCCTTTCCTCCCAAGTTGCTTTGGTCATGGTGTTTCATCACAGCAGTAGAAATCCTAACTAAGACAGAAAGTAAAGGAACTTGCCAGTGTCAGGTCCAAAAGGAATCCAAGAAGAATGGCTGTCATGTCTATTAGCACACCAAAGTTCACTCTGGCCTCCAGGCTACCTCAGCATCACAAGTGCCTGTCACAGGGCCCATGCTGGCATCCTAGCTCCTAGCTCTTCTCGCCCACCTCTACCCTGAAGTGCAGCTCATGGGTTTCCCTTCCTCCAGGTTCTCTCATTCCTGTACAACCCCATCATTTCAGCCACTCACATTCTTGGTCCTCTCTGTGTGTCTCCTTTGCTCCTTCTCTCTTCTTTTCCTCTCTCAACCCTGTCCCCATCCTCCCCCCAGTCTCATGGCCTAGTTTCAGTCATGTCTATTCTCTCTATTATTCTCTCTCTCTCTCTCTCTCTCTCTCTTTCTGCTCTGGACTCTTCCAGATGCCTCTGGCTGTTCTCTCCCTAATATCTACAATAAAAACTTCCCCTCAGCTGTACCTTGGAGTGGTCATGTCATCATTTTATACAGCTACCAAGCCTGAGGAACTGAGTGTGATCCCAGGAACCTGTATGGTAACCGGAGAGAAATTTCTCCTTTGAAAGATGCCCTCTGCACACACACCATGTCTTCTGCATACACACCGTGTCCTCTGCACACACACACCATGTCCCCTGCACACATACCACCCAACCCACGGACACACTAAGTCAGTCAGTAGGTTAAAAGGATGCACAAGGTTGACAAACCCCTTATCCAAACCAACCAACTGGAAGAGAAGACCCAACTCAATGTAGAGATAAAAAGAAGGTTAACACAGCAGATACCTAGCAACAACAATTAGAAAAAAATAAGAAAGACACACCTTACAAACTTATAACACTAAATTGGAAAATCTAAAAGAAATGGAAATGCATTATATATATTTTATTATATTTAGCAGAGCTAAATCAAGGCAAGACATGTAACATCACTACAATGTCACTGATGACTACAATGAGATTGAAGCCGCAGTGAGAAATTTCCCAGTCCAAAATGTCCAGGTCAGCTGACTTCACTGCTGAATTCTACCAAGCCTTTAGAGAAGAACTAAGACTGATGATTCAAAAGTTATTGTATAAAGTAGAAAAAGAGAACTCAATCTATGAAGCCAATATTCCCCTGATAGCAAAGTCAGACAAAGACACAGCATGAAAAGAAAATTATAGGCTGATCTCCATAATAAAGATAGACAAAAAAATCCAGGAAAGTCATTGTGGACTGAGTTCAAGAACGCATCGGGTTGACTTCATTCCAGAGATGCAGGGATGGAAAAACAAACGTAAATCACTGAGCCTTATCACACACCCAAAGGCAGAAATCACATGAGCAGCGGAAGCAGCAAAGGCTTTTGTTAAAATCCAACGTCTTTTCATGACAAAAACTCTGAAAAAGGCTAGGAATGGAGGGACCATATCTGAGTAATATAAATTATATATACAAGACAAACATACGGCCAAGCTCATGCTAAATGCAAAAAACCAAACTCAAAGCATTTCCACTAAGACAAGAATAAGACAAGCGTGTCCACTCTCTCCCCTCCTCTTCAACATCATGTGTGAAGTCTTAGCTTGAGCAGTGGGACAAGAGAGGAAAAATAAAAAGATGGATACAACCAGAAGAGGAAGACACCCAAGCACCTTCATTTGCAAACGACATGATTCTATACATTAGGGACCATGAAGTCTCTACCACGAAACATCTTAGAGATGATAAACACTTCCAAAGTGTCAGGATGGAAACAAAAATCAACACACAAAATCAGCAGCTTTCCTATGCATATATCAATAAAAGGCATACTGAGGAAATCAAAAACCAGGGAGATGATCATATTCGATATTGTCTCAAGACTAATAAAATGCCTTGAAATAAACTTAAACAAGGAAGTGAAAGGTGTCTGCAACACAAATTTAAAAGACTGGAAGAAGGAAATTGAGGAAGACACTAGAAGATGAAAAGACTTCCCCTGCTCAGGCATTCAGCTCTTTACATTGTGAAAATGGCTCTTACTAATCTACAGAGTCAATCCAAGCATCATCAAAACTCCTGCACTATTCTTCACAGAAGAAGAAAAAGCAGGCTTCAAAATTCAAAATTCAAATGGGCAGTGGTGGCACATATCTTTAATCCCAGGCAGATCTCTGTGAGTTCAAGGCTAGCCTGGTCTACAAAATGAGTTCCAGGACAGCCAAGACTGTTACACAGAGAGACCTTGTCTTGGAAAAACTCAAATGGAAACATAAAAGACAAAGGAATCCTGAGAAATAACGGTAATGCTGGAGGTATCACTATTCCTGATCTCAAATGATACTACAGAGCCATAGTGACAAGAACAGCAAGGTACTGGCAGAGAAACAGACATGTAGGGTAATGAGACAGATGACCTGGGTCGAAGCCCACACAGCTATAGCCACCCTATCTTCAATAAAGATGCCCAAAGTGCACATTGGAGAAAGACAGCCTTTTCAACTGAGGCATATTCTTGATTTATGATTGATGCAGGTGGGCCCAGCCGACTGTGGGTGATGCCACTCTTAGGCACATTGTATAAGAAAGCAGACTGAGGCCAGTGGTTGGTGGCGCTCGTCTTTAATCCCAGCACTCGGGAGGCAGAGGCAGGTGGATCTCTGTGAGTTCGAGGCCAGCCTGGTCTCCAGAGCGAGTGCCAGGATACGCCCCAAAGCTACACAGAGAAACCCTGTCTCGAAAAACCAAAAAAGAAAGAGAGAAAGAAAGAAAGAAAGAAAGAAAGAAAGAAAGAAAGAAAGCAGACTGAGCAAGCTATGGAGAACAAGCCATAAAGTATTGTTCCTCTGTGGTCTCTGCTTTAATTCCTGCCCTGACTGTCTATCATGATAGACTGTGAGCCAGCTGTCAGGTGAAATAAACCCTTTCCTCCCCAAGTTGCTTTTTGTTGTAGCCTTTATCACTGCAATAGAAAGCAAACTAGGATAAAGGGGTTGCACACTGAATTTGGAATCTCTTGTTTGTTTGTTTGTTTGTTTGTTTAACATTGTTCAAGGTTGAAACCAATACTGAGCCCAGCCCTTTCAAGGTTGGGTTTTCCAACACGGCTACATTCATGGAGGGTGATGGTTGAACAAGACAATCCTAATTAAAGTTAGCCTCCCAGCTCTAACAATGTAAAGCCTGACACCAACTCCTCAATGGGTTCTACGTGATACTAGGAGAATAAGGGGAAAACAAACATTGATGCCTACATTACCCCCTCTACCGTGGCTACCCAACAGTCCTTCCAAGTGAGGGCCCCCAGTAGCCCACCTAGATGTGATACTAGAGACAGTCCAGTCCTAAGGCTGTGAATTTTCCACGAAACTAGCTTCTGCAAAGTTTCACAAGCAGTGGTTTAATGTGGCAAATTACCAATACAGAGCCAGGTAAAAATACAAGGGAATTTAATAGGGAAAAGCCTTACTTACAGAGAAACCTGGCCAGCCGGCAGGGCAGCAGTCTGTACAGCAACCCAAGATGAAAGCAAAAGCAGAGAGCATCACTCTACGTCACCCTGAGGGCGTGGTCAAGCACACCTGTAGCCAGGCCCTAAGCAGACATGGCTACAGCATCCCCTACAGTGACTATCAAGAACAAGGTGGAGCATGGGTGTCCTGGGCACCAGGTCACTTCTGGTGGTGTCTGCCCTGCCCTGATTTCATCACAATCTCTCCTCTTGGCCTGCTTAGTGATGTCCTTTCAGCCAGTCTCCTGAACATGCTTCAAGAATCCTGAGTTCAGTCCTCCTGGCTGTTCTTTGTGCTCCAATGACCAAATCCTGCCATACCATTGCTTTGAAAACACCAGAAAGAGAAACTGACTACGTTGGAGTTCTGTTGGAATTTCGAGACTTTCTCCGTTTGACTACACGGTGCCTGGCACTTGGGTCAGTCTTGGGGAGTTTGAAGGGCTGCTGGATGAGTAGGGTGTGTACTGGGAGACTTGGATATCTCAGAACGTTGGATTTGGCCCATCTGACCCAGAACAAGTTACCCTCACGTCATGGAGGAGACACCAACAGCCGTGACTCAACTGCTGCCAAAACTGGAGAAATCAAAACATCACTCACTTCTTTCTGTGACCTTTGTTTTCCTACTCACCCTTACATTGACTTTTCTTGCCTGGGCTTTCTGGAGCCTGAATAAGCAGATGCCAGAATACATTCTAGCCAAGGATAGCATAACGGTTAGGGAGGTGGACCACCTGAAAATAGTGAACATGTCCAGGATGTGGTATTATCAGTCGGAACTAACAGAGCCCAACAGTGAAAACATAGCCATGCAGACTCCTTGGCTGGCTCCCATCGTGTGGGACGGGACTTTCCAAATTGAAATCCTGAACCAGCAATTCCGGCTCCAGAATGTCTCCATTGGGTTAGTTGTGTTTGCCACGGGAAAATACATAGCCTTCCTAAAAGGGTTCCTGAAGACTGCCGAGATGTACTTCATGGAGGGGCACAGGGTGAAATACTACATTTTCACTGATCAGCCAGGCAGCGTGCCACTCCTGAAGCCCTCTAAGGGAAGGCAGATGGTAATTCTGGAAACCCAGGCCTCTGCCCACCCCTGGAACACGTACATCTATAGAATGGAGGTCATCAGCTATTTTTCCCAGCAGCGTTTTGCGAAGGAGGTGGATTACCTGGTCTGTGCTCACGTGAACATAGTTTTCTGCAACAGTGTGGGTGTGGAGATCCTCTCCTCCCTGTTCGGCACACTGCACCCTTTGTTCTTTGGGTTACCAAGGAAATCGCTGGCTTATGAAAGGCAGCCTCAGTCACAAGCCTACATTTCTGAGAACGAGGGAGATTTTTACTACTCCGGGGCCTTCTTTGGGGGAAAGGTATTAGAGGTTCACAGGCTCACCAAGTTTTGTTACCTGGCTCTGAGGATGGACCAAGCCTATGACATCCAGGTCGTGCGGCCTGAAGAAAGCTACTTGAACAAGTACCTGCTCTACAACAAGCCCACCAAGATCCTCTCTCCCGAGTACATGTGGGATAAGACACTTCCGATCACAGACGGTTTTCGAGAAGTGTTGACAAACTGGGGCATGCTCGAGAAAGTCAGCAAATATCCCTGGACTGACTCTAAGCAAGACTTCCAGGGAGATCTCAGACTGGGTCAGTGGTCAGTCTTCTAACATTCTGACTGAGAGCTGGACCATTTGTGTTATATTTTTTTAATTTTTTTAGGGTTATTTATTTACTGATTGTTGTTAAATTTTTAAAGAAAAATAGGACATATTAACCAGTTTATTATAGGCCTGGCAGAGTAGGGAGACTAACAGAGAAGAGAAACAGAGTTAGCAGCTGACCGCCATGGCTGGTCACCATAGAGAAAGAGAAGCAGAAGCAGACAGAGAAAAAGAGAAGAGTAGAGAGAGCAGAGAGAGAGAGAGAGAAAAGAGTGTAAATGGGCAGGGTCTGTCTTTTAAAGTGGTCCTCTGCACCTGCGTGCAGACTTAGTTCCCATGGAACCCTGGGCTGACCAGGGTACTGCCTTGTTCTGTCAGGTAACAGGGGCAGGACAGCATCATGCCTGAACCTTTCATTTGTTTTTTGTTTTTTCAAGACAGGGTTTTTCTGTAGCTGCTGCTGTCCTGGAACTCACTCTGTAGACCAGGCTGGTCTTGAACTCGCAAAGATCCGCCTGCCTCTGCCTCCCAAGTGCTAGGATTAAAGGTGTATGAATGTTTTTGTTTTTGTTTTTTTGAGACAGGGTTTCTCTGTGTAGCTTTGGAACCTATCCTGGCACTGGCTCTGGTGACCAGGCTGGTCTCGAACTCACAGGGATCCTCCTGCCTCTGCTTCCTGAGTGCTGGTATTAAAGGTGTGCGCCACCAACGCCCGGCAGGTGTACGAATTTTTACTAGTGTTATCACAGGCTTCACATTCCCAATTGGTTGGGGGAGAGAATGCTCAGGAGTAATTGCACCCTTGGCCCACCTGGCCTAGTTTGCTTTCTGTTGCTGATAAAAGACTGGCCAAATCCTAGTTGGGATGAAAGGGTTTATTTCACCTTCAGGTTGCTGTCCTCCTTCACTGAGGGAAGCCAGGGCAGGAACTCAGGCAGGAACCTGTAGGCAGGGACTTCGAGACCATGGAGGAACACAGCTTGCTAGATTGCTCCCAATGGCTTGTTCAGTTTCCTTATATACAACCCAGGACTGTTTGTCTAGGAAGCACCGCCCACAGTGAAGGAAATGCCCCACGGAACTGTCTGAGGGAGACAATTCCTCAGTTGAGGTCCCCTCTTCCTAGGTGACTCTGGGGTGTGTCAAGTTGACAGCTGAAGCCCAATATGACACCATCCTCAACCCCAACTTTATCAGACACAAAGGTTTCCCCACCCGCAACACAATGTTTAGGGGGACCGATTTCTTAGGTTTAGTCCCACTTGCTGGTCTCTCACTAAATACCCTTCAGTTTGAATGAGACTGGTTGGTATTGTCTTGTCCTGGTGAGCAAAGCACCATAGACAAAGACCTTTTCCAGAAGGAATGAGGCTCTCAGTCACACGTCTCCTGCCTTCCAAGGCAAGTCACACCACACAGAACCCGCTTTGGTCTTTGGCCAAGGTTAACTTTAAGGTCAAATCACTTCCTCTCCAAATTCTTTGTTGGTTTGTTTGTTTGTTTGTTTGTTTTTGTTTTGTTTTTGAGACATGATTTCTCTGTGTAGTTCCAGAACTCACTCTGTAGACCAAGCTGACCCCAAACTCCCAGAGATCCACCTGCCTCTGCCTTCCCAGTGCTGGAATCAAAGGTGTGAGCCACCACCGCCCAGCCCTCTTCAAATCCTTTGTGACAATGGAGGGGTTCCCTTGAATCTTTACTCAGATGTGGTGAGACGTCAGACCAGGACTCTTTCCTCATGCCTGGCTTCCGCCCATCTCAAAACGGTCAGGCATTGATTGACAGCAGTGAGCATGCAAATTGCCTATAGCACTCCCCCTCCCCGTTTTCAGCTTCTCTGTGGTCCCTGAGTGGATGAAGATGGTTCTCTGAGAACAGAACGCTTTTGTCTCTCTTTTACTTAGAAATCGTTTCTGCGCTCTTTAGCAACGGTAGTTAATGCAGATATCTTTGACTTTGTGGCTCTGCTTTAGTGTTTCTCCTTCCCTCTGACAGTGCAAAAGAAGGGTGGGGTGTCACACCACAGCAGCCTTTGGTACCCTCCTATGCATGGAAAGTGTCTTAATTGCCAGAGCTTTCTCTTTTGAGGCTCCAAATTTAAGAGGTGGTTTCGTTGTTGTTTGAGACAGGGTCTCACTGTGTACGCCTGGAACTCGCTCTGGAGACCAGGCTGGCCTCGAACTCACAGAGATCCCCCTACCTCTGCTTCCCAAAGCTGGGATTAAGGGCGTTCACCCCTATGTTCAGGCTTGTAGGCTGTTTACTGCTCTAGAGGCACTGGGACCTGGGAGAACGGAGCCGATGAACGAGGCAGACGGGAAGTCTCGTGCAACAGCCAACTTAATTCAGCGCATAAGACAGTTTGTACTCTGAGGGCTAAGAGGAGTGACATGAGCAAAGGTCACACACTTAAGGGCCAGCTGCACATGCCTTTCCACAGAGGAATATAAACTAATAATAGCCAGTTGTAATGAACAATCTGAAGTAAACTCACTACTATCCACTACACCTGGGAGAGGCACAAAAACATAATCCAAGAACAATTCTGTTTTGAAGAAACTGAGGTCACAAGACTCTTGTCTTGTTTTCTTGGAGTTTTCACACACACACACACACACACACACACACACAGAAATCTCTTCACATGACTGTATTCTTGGATGGTAAGATATACATATATTTTTATGTCAATGCTGAGAAGCTATTTTTTACAAAAGAACAATTTAGCAAAATGTTTTCCTCCTTAATGGAAAGTGAAAATATATTCATAGTGTTCACAAGGCCCAGTGGCCAGTCTCAGCAGCAGAGCAGGCCCTGAGGCCCAGATCATCTCCATCCCAGCATTTGAGCCATGGCCATGACTTTGGGACTGTCCTGGAACCAGCTTCTCAGACTTTGCAGTCTTCAGTCTCAGTGGGGCCATCTCTGTCCTTACAATTCAGCTGCAAGAAGACACGTGCGCAGTTTGTGCCCTTTCTAGTTCCTCATGTTGGGTCTTCCATGGCGTTACACTTTGGTAGTGAACCTGTAGGCATGGTGGGCTCCCATTGATAGTCTATTTGCTGCTGGAGAATGTAAGACCTAACTACTTTTCCAGCATGTGGGAGCCCTGGATTCAATTCCCGGTACCACAGAAAGAAAAAAGTCTCTCCCTGTTACAAATTAACGTGGCCTGTACTGATGTGACTTACTTTATCATGCTTCTCATGGGGTCATTTTAATTTTGGAGCAATGTGGGTCTAATGTTCTGTGGTTCATTGCCTATGAGGTCAAAGTCGTGTTAAGTCCTTAGGGACAGGAGTGTTAGGAGGTGGGTCAAGGAGCTGTGTCTGCCCCTCTGGGATGATTGAGAAGTTCTTCTGTAAGCCCAGCAACCATCAGTGAGGGCACCCCAATTCTCATTATCTTCCTATCATTATGCCAAATACCTGGGAAGCCAGCTTCTTTTGGATCACAGCCTCAGGGACTTGGGCCCATCGTTACCCGGCCTCCTCGAACCAGACCAGGAGAGCCTCTCAAATGCTAGCCAACAGGAAGCAAAGGCCAAGAGAGGGGGCAAGCCTATGGAGACAAAATTGTCCTTCGAGGGAACTTCCTCCCCAATAGCCCACGTCCTCCCACGAGGCCTGCTTCCAAACATCTACCCCATTCTCTAACGGCCCATTCCGTTGTGACTCTGTCACTAGCGTCAAGGTCCTCAGGAGCCAGTCATTCCCCACCCCCCAAGTCTCACCTTTGATCACGGCAGCTTTGGAGACCAAGCCTGCAACACACAAGCGTTGTTGGGATGGGGTAAGGCTGACTAAGGCGGGGCAATTCAGATCTGAAATCTAACGCCATCTTGCTGTCTTCCAGGGCACCACCACGGTAACAAGAGTGAGAAACTTCTATGTTGAGTCCACTTGAAACTAAACCCTTGATGGAGATGAATCTTTGCAACTGATGCTCCCTCCTGTTTTGACGTGTCTTTAAAACTATAGCTAAAAGCAGTCTTTCTCACAGAGATTCCAATAAAGCAGTCATGTCTCGGCCCTTGGTGTCTAGGGTCTGTATGTCCTGTAGAGAATATACGAGGTCTGGTCAGGGACCTTGGGAGACGGTGAAAAGTGTTATGTGTGGTTGCACTGAACATAAGGACTGGAGTCAGAGCCAGAATAATTCTTGGTCCTGGTACTATGTATACAGTGACATAACACAGCATGTATAATGGTATACCTAACAGTCATGTGACATGTGCATTCCATAACCACACACTTAGACAATATTTTCCTGTGTTACCTGCTTCTGTCACCACTCTCCAGAGCCTGGTCATCTCGAGTCTTTCTACCTTTGTGGTGTGTGTGTGTGTGTGTGTGTGTGTGTGTGTGTGTGTGTGTGGTGTGCATGTGGTATGGTGTGTGCATATGTGTGTGTGATATGTGTAGTGTATGTCTGTGTGTGGTGTGGTATGTGTTATGTGTGGTGTGTGCTCTATGTCTGTATGTGTGTATGGTGTGTGTGTCTGTGTATGTTTTGTAATGTGTGTAGTGTATGACTGTGTGGTGTGTATGGTGTGGTATGTGGTGTGTGTATGCATGGTATGTGTGGTATATGTCTGTGTGTGGTGTGTGTGTGTGTGTGTATGTGTATGTGTGTGTGGTGTGTGTGTTGTGTGTGTGTGTGGTGTGTGTGTGGTGTGTGTGTGTGGTGTGTGTATGTGGTGTGTGTATGTGTGTGTGGTGTGTGATGTGTGTCTGTTTATAATAACAAGATTCTACAGTAAGCAAAAACACTCAGTATCTGTCTTCCTGAGTCTGGTTTATAAATTGATAAGATGTGGCATACACTTACAATAGACTTAAACATACTTAACCATAAAGAAGAAAATGATTTCGTTTGTGGGAAAATGGATAAAACTGGACATCATGCTGAAACTGGCAAGCTATTTTATCTGTCCAGGGCTGTTTACTCATCTGTGAAGTAGACTTCTGCATTTTAATCTTTATTATTTGCTAAATTTATTTATT